GATAAGAGCTCCTAAATACTTTTGGCATTTTTGGCCTTTGGAACAGAGTATGTTGCTAAGAGGCCCAAGGACATTTTGACTTTTAGCCAACAAACTGGCTACTTTTCTTTGGGGTCTTTTTTACCCTAACTGCCTAGTCAGTTCCTTCCTATTCTTATCACACCACCATATCACACCACCATTTGAAGAAGTTACCCAAATTGCCGATAGGGAATCGGGATGCAGACAACTCTGACTTCTTCCATGCTAAACAGAGACGCAGGGTGAGGCAATTGGGGTACCCCTTCAGTGGGTCTATCTAAAAGACTTCCAAATTGCATAACTCTTATCTGTAGGGAGAAAAGAAAGTCCTTGACTGGTGAATAGGGCATGTGAAGGAGAAGAAAAGGCAAGAGCAGTTAGCATTACAAGTTCCAGACAGGGAACCAGAAAAAAGTCAGAGCAGGGAAAATTTCAAATGTTCATATCAGAGTCCATTGGGATTTCTTGACAGGAGCTTCCTTTGGATGCCTTTTTACTTACTCTTTTCCTTTAAGACTTCTTGCCACCCTATCGTGTTCTCTGATTAATGACCTACTCTGTTTGGTGCTGTGAAATCTTGTCTACAGTTTTTTTTTTTTTTTTTTTTTTCCTCAGCTAAGCTTTGCTACTAGCTGAATGACTGTCACTCACGATTCTTCCTTGAACTGTACAATGTTTTTCCTTTTTCTACTCTAATGACACAACTCAGCCACCAAGTCCTCCTGTAAAGCCTTAAACTATGCCAATACCCTAAATGAATTTGTTCCTGGAATTGAGCTCCAGTATTTCACTTGGGGTACTATCTATCCCTCTGTATTTCCAGCCTTCCTCCCCTCATTTCCTTGTTTCTACTGGCTCCACTCTTCTCTTTGTGCACAGCCATATCTCTTGGTTTTTCTTGATTAAGTTTTCTCACTTGGGTCTTTCTGACCTTCTCATTTCCATCACCTGCCTTTTCTTCTCTTACATGTGGATCACTCAGTGGTCCTGGAGGAAGAAAATTGGCTGCTGATATGAATTTGGTTCATTTTAATTGGAGAGTTTGTTTTAATGTAACCTTTCTGCACAATTCTCCATATCAACTTAGGAAATGTAGCCCAGTGTTCATGCTCTGCTCCTTGTGCCTCTTTTCCAGAGGTGGGTTGCCTGGCCTACCTCATGCCTCAGAATCTTCCTCGGAACCTGACAGATGCTGGCTTCTTCAAGTGTTCTTGGTCATTTACAACAGTTTTGCTTCATTGCCAGGTGCTCTCCATCCTGTCCAACCCACTGAGCTTCTGATGTTAGGGGCCAACCTCCTGCAGAGTGATGTAGAGGATGCACTGCCGGGCTGTGCTCTTGCTGAAGTGGGGCCTAGGCTCTTGCTCTTTTTTCTGGCTTTACTATTCTTTACCTCTTTGGTTCCTCCTTAGTTGATTTTATTCTTTGTCTACTCAGTCTAGTTTAGATTTCCCTGAAGAGTTTAGGAAAGGATACTCTTTCTTCAGGCCAGACAGTCACAGTGGCTTCTTATTGTAGGATAGCTTTACTTGTGTTTTCCGTATTGTTGTTGAATTTTGTTTAGGAGATTCATTCAACTTTTTTCCTTTTTGCTCTGTTTCCATCTCCATGGCATGCCCTTTTTTCTTTCCATTTGAATGTGTCTTTGATTTCATAATGGAGCTTTTAGCAACAAACCTAGAAAATGCTGTTAAAATTAGTTTGCTGAAAAGCCCATCCTTTCCATATCTCTCTGTCTCTCATCATTTTATGACCAAACAGATCTATAAGAAAGTGGGCAGTTCCAAAATCATCATACAGAAAAGTCTTGTGTCATAAATTTACTTTGTGGGATTTCAGTGCACAAAATGTTTCTTATAACTATAGGATAACATTTAGACTATTTTAAATGAAAAGGTTTGTTGCTTTATTTTTAAACAGGATTGCTTTTTTTTTAAATTAAGCTTGCCTTAAAAATACGCATATTTAAAAAATCCCAAAGGATATAGAACCTACTGTGCAAAATGCTTCTTTTAAAATAATTATTTTTATTTTATGTATATGATTGTATTGCCTGCATGTATGTAACTGCATCCATATATGCATGTATGAGTGTAGTGTGGTGTGTGCTTGGAGGTCAGAGAGCAATCCTCCAGAGGTGGTTTTCTCCTGCCTTGTGGGATCTGAGGATCAAACTCAGGTCATCAAGCCTGTGTACAAGGGCCAGCCTCTGCCTGATGAGCTATGTTGTTAGCTCCTCTTTTTGTTCTTTTTTGAAACAGGGTTTTCACATGGTAGCCCAGGCTAGCCTGGAATTCTCTGTGTAGCTCAGGCAAGTCTTGAGCTTGTGACAATTCTCCTGTCATAAGCTCCTGAATGCTGGGATTACATACATATCCATCATGCCTCTTTACATATGAGGATTTTCTTTTTTCTTTTGTCAGAAATAATGTATTTCTAGTACTTTCTTCAGATTGCTTCTTTATTACCTTAAGGATGATTTGTGCTAAACAAAAATTTTTCTTTTTCTTTTTTTGGTCTTTTTGAGATGGGTTCTCCCTGTAGCCACAGCTGACCTGGAACTTGCTTTGTAGACCAGGCTGGCCTCAAACTGACAGAGATCCGCCTGCCTCTGCCTCCCAAGTGCTGGGATTAAAGGTGTGCACCACCATGCCCAGCTATAAACAGAAATTCTTAATTTTAAGGTGTAGTATAATTTATATATTTCCTGTATGGCTACATCTTTTTGTATCTCGTTTATCAAAATTCTGCCCATTTTAACTAAGGATGCTATGATTTTCTCCCTTGCACTTTCTCACTTTAGATTTATAATGTGCCTTGACTTTTTTTATGATTAGTGTAAGATACAGGTCAAAACTCTTCATTTTCAATATAAATATCCAATTGCCATATACCATTCATTAAAAAGATCTTTCTTTACAGAATTGAAGTGCTTTTGTCATTTGTCTTTAATCAGGATGGCTCTGTGAGTGAACTAATTTGTTTTTGTTTTACTCTATATAGGGTAAGAATTCTTTGTTCTTCAAGTGGGATTATATTCAATATATTACACATAACTTGTCTTTTTAACTCAAAAAGACATTTTGGTGTGAATATGTTGTATCATTTAAAAATACTGACATAGAAATAGAATGCTATATTATAAATGGACACTACTTTTTCTTTTTATATTTTATTTATTATTTTTATCTTATGTGTATGAGTGTATTGCCTGCATGTACGTGAATGCACCCGTGTCATGCAATGCCTCGGAGATCAGAAAAGGGCTTCGGATTCCCCTGGAACTGGTGTTAAGGATGGAACGTATCTGCCATGTAGGTGCTGGGAATCGAACCTGGGTCCTCTGCAAGAGCAGTCAGTGTTCTTAACCACTGAGCTATCTCTCCAGACCCTCTTTTTTATTTTTTTTTGAGACAGGGTCTCCCAGTAGCCCTAGCAGGCCTGAAACTTGCTATGTAGATGAGGCTGGTAAGGATCTCACATAGATCTGCTTGCCTCTACCTCCCAAGTGTTGGGATTAAAGGCTTGTGATAGCACACCAGCTCAGACATTACTTTTTGACAGTTCCTCAGGAGATGAATATTTTGAGGGTTTCCCATTTTTACCCATTCCATATAATACGTCAGCAGTAGTCTTACACATCTGTCCATTTGTTTGTTTATGTGTTTCTGTAAGACAGAGTTCTAGAGGTGAGATTGCTTTGCTATGAGAATACACACATTTTAAATATGGAAAAGATTCCCTCTTGAGAAAGTGCATACCAGTTTGTGATTCTGGCCAAAAATTTTTGTAAAAGCTGTCTTTAACCACCCCCCAAAATACCTGCTAACA